ACACACACACACACACACACATAATATATATATTATTCAGCCAGAAAAAAGAAGGAAATTCTACTATTTGCAACAACATGGATAGACCTTGATGGCATTATAGTAAGTGAAGTAAGTCAGACAAATAAAGGCAAACACTGTATGATCTCACTTATATGTGGAGTCTTAAAAATAACTCATAGAACAAGGAATCAGATTTGTGGTTACCACAGGTGAGGGGTGGGGTGGGGGGCAGTAATTGGATAAAGGAATTAAAAGGTACAAACTTGTAGTTGTAAGTATGCACTGGGGTTTTAATTTACAACCTGATGACTACAATAGTTAACACTGATGATATATGGTATATTTGAAAGTTGTTAAGAGAGTTAATCCTAAGAGTTCTCATCACAAAGAAAAAACATGTTCTTTCTTTCTTCCTTTTTTTTTTTTTTGATATCTATATGAGATAATGAATTATTGTAATAATCATTTCACAGTATATGTGAGTCAAGTCATTATGCTTTACACCTTAAACTTATACAGTGCTATATGTCAAATAAACCTCATTAAAACTGGAAAAAATAAAACTACTCTAATAATAAAGTTTATTAATTAATAAAAAGACATACAAAAATCTTAAACATGCCTTGTGCTACACATACACAATAAAAAATTTGTTAAATTTGAATGGAAGACCAGTTGGGGTAGAAGAATCAACATGAATTTTCTTTCTTAAAAAAATGTGAATCTATAGAGGTGAACTTAGTTTGATTTTTTTAAATCTATAAGAAACCTACAGCCAATATCTTACTTGTGAGAAACTAGATGCTTTTCAACTGAGATCAGGAATAAGGAAAGAGGTCCCTTCTCACCATTCCTGTTCAACATCATACTGGAAATGCTAGCTAATGCAGTAAGATAAGAAAATAAAATAAAAGGCATACAGTTAGGGAAGGAAGAAATAAAACTCTCTTTTTTCACATATGACATGATTGTCTACAAAGAAAATCCCAAAGAGTGGACAAAAAAAATAATCCTGGAACTAATAAACAATTACAGAGAGGTTTCAGGATAGAAAGTTAATACCCGAAGTCTATCACTTTCTTTTTTTACCAGCAATAAAAAACATAAAATGATATATGTTAACACTTATAAATATTTATGTATAAACTAACAAAATATGTTTAAGATCTATATTAAGAGAGCTACAAAAACTCTCATGAAAGAAATCAAAGAGGTTAATGAATGGAGAGACATTCATGTTCATGAATTAGAAGACTCAATATTGTTAATATGTCAGTGCCTCCCAGCTTGGTCTATTGACTCAATGAAATCCTAATCAAAATCCCAGTAAGTTACTTTCTGGATATTGATGAACTGATTCTAAAGTATAGAGAGAGAGGTAAAAGACCCAGAAACCCACAATAGTCGACACAGTATTGAAGAACAAAGTCTGAAAATGATGCTGCTCAGCTTCAAGATTTATTATAAAGCTATAGTAATCAAGACAGTGCGCTATTGGCCAGATAATAGAAAAATAAGTCAATGGAAGAAAATAGAGAAACAAGAAAGAGACCCACACAAATATAGTCAACTGCTATTCGGCAAAAAAAAAAAAAAAAAAGATAATTCAATGGACAAAGGGTTGTTTTTTCAACATATATTGCTGGATATTCACATACAAAATAAATAAATAAATAAACCTAGCTACAGACCTTACACCTTTCACAAAAATTAACTCAAAATGAATCATAGCCTCTAATGTAAAACACCAAATTATAAAACTCCTAGAAGATAACGTAGAAGAAAATCTAGATATCTTTGGGTATGGCAATGACCTTTAAGATATAACACAAAAGACATAATCCATGAAAAAAAAAAGCAGTAAGTTGGATTTCATTAAAATTGAAAACTTCTGCTCTATGAAAGACACTGTCAAGAGAATGAGAAGACAAGCTAGAGATTGGAAGAAAATATTTGCAAAAGAGATACCTGATAAAGGACTGTTATGCAAAATATACAAAGAACTCTTAAAACTCAACAATAAGAATATGAACAACCTCATTAAAAAATGGTGGAAGATCTAAATAGACACAAAATCAAAGAAGATATACAGATGGCTAATAAATATATGATAATATATTTAACTGTTATTAGGGAATTAAATGCAATCAAAAAAAAATGAGATACCACTATATATGTAGTAAATGGTTAAAACCCAACACCAAATGCAAGCAAGGATGTAAAGCAACAAGAACTAATCATTGCTAATGGCAATAGAAAATGGTACAACCGCTTTGGAAGACAGTTTGGTAGTTTCTCACAAAACTAAACACACTCTTACTATACAATTCATCACTCATGGTTCTTAACCTGCACATGAACGGGTTAAAGCAGCTTTATTCGTAATTGCCAAAACTTGGAAGCAGCCGAAGTGTCTTTTAATAGAGGAATAAATAAACTATGGTACATCCAAATAATGAAATATTATTCCACAATAAAAAAGAAGTGTGTTATGAAGCCATTAAAAGAAAGAGAGGAATTGAAAATTCGTATTGCTAAGTGAAAGAAGTCAATGTGAAAAGGCTACATATTGTATGAGTCCAACTATATGATATACCTGAAAAGGTAAAACGATGGAAATAATAAAAAGGTTAGTGGTTGTCACAGGTTTGGGGAAGGGAGGGATGGACAGATGGAGCACAGGGGATTTTAGGGCAGTAACAGCATTCTGCAAGACGCTATAATGGTGAATACATGTCATCACACATTTGTCAAAACCCTTAGAATGCACAATGCAAAGCACAAGCCCTAAAGTAAACTGCGGACTTTAATTAATCAGGACGTGTCAGCGATGGTTCATCAACATAACAAACACACCTCGCTTGGGAAAGATGTCAGTGGCGAGGACGCTGAGTGCTTTGGGGAGAGGATAGTTATCTGGGAACTCTGTGCTTCCTACTCAATTTTGTGAGCCTTAAACTGCTCTGAAAATTAAGTCTATTGAGAAATGTGTGAATCAGCCAAGTATTTTTTAGGCCCAGCAGGTTCAGCACTTGCCAGGCAGAGCAAACCCCATCTCAGCAGTCCACAGTATAAACCAAAGAAGGTTACCTTAGAGCAAATCCTCACAAGCCAAAGGGACTTTCCTCCTTGCTTATTTTTACAACTTGTGGAAGAAAATGTTTAGTTCTTAGGAAGCCCAGGGACAGTCAGCTAGACAGCTGTGGGCCAGCTTCCTGAGAAGCTTTCAAAAACATGGCAGGGTCCAACTTCTTGTGCCCAGGGCTGCCACCCATATAATGCTGTTGCCATGGAAGCCAGGCATAGGAAAGATCTGCTGTCACCCAGCATCACGCCCACTTTGTTCTTCACCTGTCCCAGCCCGCTGTTGATATTTTTCTGTTTTAGTTTGTATCTTATATGCTTTTCCAGAGACCTTGTCACCCAGAACAAGAAAACATGCTCTCACCTTCCCTCGCCAAGTCTCTCTAGGTCAGTGATTCTCAGCCTCAGCTATGCACTGAAATCACCTGGGGAGATTAAGAAACTAACCCTATCTGGCCTCACAGCTGAGATTCTGATTCCCTTGGCCTGGGCATGCATAGGTGGCCAAGCTTCCAGGTGATTCTAACGTACAGCCAAGGTTGCAGAGCTCCGGTCTCAGAGAGCCCTTGAGGTGCACACAGACTCCAGCCAGCCATCTGAGAGAATTGTTTCTATCTCATCCTGAGAGTTTTAAAGACACTCATCTCTCCCCACACACCATCCCCAGCACACACAAGAAGGTTCTAGGAAACGTTCTTTCAATTTATTCACCAATTTTCATAGATCTGTATTGAGCACCTACTACGTGTAAGCTGAGTGCTGAGAAACTGCAGACACTTCCCTCAAAGAGCTCAGTATACAAAGCACCACCAACCTACACATCTCTACCACAAAGGACTAAGTTACAGCGTCACTACAGAGTCATTATTTATGCTGGTAGTTTGGACAGGCTCCATTTGACAAGCCTTTGCACTGTAATTCAACCAAATGTGTCACACATGCTAAGTAGGGCCCTGGCCTTGTGCAGAATGGCTTGAGGTAGACACTCGCTCCATGGCCTGGCATATTTGTCACCCCAGCCAAACTGGCTTTATTATATTAAACTTAGAAGAGTGTCACTGAAGCATGTTAGTAAATGTTAGTATAATTCGGTGATGCATAGCAGGTTTACCTCTTAATATGAAAAGTGTTTTGTTTCCGAAGAGTGGGATTTTTCTTAAAGAGATGTGTTCACAGGCCTTTCCATGCAGCACCTGTAAGAGACGGTGTCCATGTCCCAGCCTCATCTCTTCTCCCCCCTCCTCACTCACTTTGCTGCAGCCACACTGGCTCTTTTAGTCCTTGGAACCCAGCTTACTCTCCCTCATGAGACAGGATGTGATGCATTCCTTCAAGTGGCTGCCTTGTTTGGTTTCAAATGCCACCTCTTCCTCAGGAGCAGTCCCTGACCAACCCCACACCACTCCCCACAATCCCCACCCACATCCCTCATACCCCCAGGCATCCTGTAGCACCTGGAATTTCAACCAGGCATGATATTGCCTCTTGGGAGACATTTGGTAATATCTGGAAATATTTGCAGCTGTCACAACTGGAGGGGCACAATGCCCCCTGGTTGGTAGAGGCCAAGGATGCTGCTAAACATCCTACACTGCGCAGAACAGCCCCCACAACAAAGGGTTATCTGGCTCCAAATGCCACGGTCGAGAAGCCCACTTTATCACTGTTCTCATTCCCCACACCATTCACTGGTACCAGAATTGATGGTTCGGGGGGTTCCCTACTAAATGGGAGCTCCCTGGGAACTGGGTTTCAGGGTTGTTCTCTGCTCCAGCCCCAGCACCTAGAGGAGTGCCAGGCACACTTGACTCTCAAATCTTCCCCACCTCCCACTGCAGGTGGAAGATGCCAGGCCCTGACTAACAGATGAGCCTGAGAAAACAGGAGGACAGTTTCAAAATAAAAACAAAAATCACATTTATTGGTGAGTGTGCATACAATGAAAAGAAGAGACTCTCACACTTTCATGTGCTCACAAAATAACCTCCAATCCATCAGTGAAAGATTGGTTCTGCTACTTCTTAAAGACGTGCAAAATTTCCAAAGTTTAATAGATGGTCTTAATTATAACCATGCCCTAGTGTCCCAGGACAGATTGTAGAAAATGAAATCTCAACTGTTTCAAAGGATCAAGAACAAAACTCATACATCCTACAAAATTGATAAACTTACAGAAAAAAATTAATGTTAACTAAATACTTCCCCTTCCTTCCTTCTAAATCACATAGCAATTTATTTTCTTCCCCCAGTATCTACTTGGTCCACTCACCATCCTGGCTTCTTCTAACTACTAAGACCCACATCCTGGTCCCAGGGAAAGCACTTAAAACCTTATGTTTTCAGAGCAATGGGGGGGTGGGGGGAGATCTAGTGGCAAAATCACACTGACTTTATTTCCCCATCAGGGAAACAAAAACCTATGTACCTCCAGAATTTGAAAACCTTGGAGGAACCAAAGGAATGTAGCGTTTGGAGTTGAAAGATAAAAAACAAGAGGTAATCATGAAATGCTTCCAAGTGAAGGAATTTAAGTACCAAGTCAGATTTGCTGATTGTAAGTCCTATCCCACTGTTCCTGACAGACTTGGTGACCAAGGTATTTGCTGCCTGTCTACCTAATGAGAAATCTTAACGGATACAGGATTCATGAGGTCTAAAGAGAATATACAATTCTTAACTGTTCATTTCATACTTGCGAGAGAGCTCTGCTATGACCAGAAATATTGAGCCAATTTCAGTATATAAAATTAGGACTTACTAACAATAAGGTTGACTACACACTGATAAGCTAGAGACACCCTACCCAGCACCACTGGCCTGCCGAATGCCATGCAAAACTGACAGGAAAATCATCCTGGAGCTCAAAGGTCTGACACAGTGAGGTCTGGCCATTGCCTTCTGCAGTCAAGGGCCTAAGGCCTTAGAGGGCCCTGCGCCCTAACGCACGTTGTAAAGGTTGTTCTCAAAGTAGATGTTGTCACACGCTTCGTAGCGCACAGCAGTTGAATCTCGGGAAGTTTCAGTCTCAGGCTCTTTGCTACAAAAAGAATAACATGAGTAAGAGAAGAGCAGGTCACTTCCACATAAGGAGCAGCTTGTTTGTTTATTTGCAATGCCAGGGCCCCATCGCTCTCACGGTGTGGTGGGTGTTGGTCAGGGCAAGGTCTGTGCGTTGGCTCATGTAATTAAGTCATAGGAGAGACTGACGTCCACGGAAACAGAACTAGGGGTGATGATGGCAGCCTCAGGGGGATGGCTGTGAGTCAGAGAGACCTGGCTGAAGGCCCGAGCTGACTAAAGGAAGCAGGCTACTTGGGGTCGGTAGCAAGCAGTGGTTTCGAACCATTACAGGAGTTTGCTGACATGACCCTGGGGCAAGAGGGGAAGGAAAGCAAAGGGGATTTAAGCTTTAACTGAGCAGTAGGGTGTATTTACAACAATTTTACATCAAATGCCTATGAGGCCAGATAACAAATGAATGTAAAGGAGCAGAGCAGGCTGGGGGTGAATGACAGGGGAAGGGGACTGTGCAGAACCGGAGGCCCTGCCCCACCACAGTGCTTTTGCACTGCTTTGGGTTCGAGTTGTCTTCCTCCAGACCTCTGGCAGCGACCACCACTGTCAGGGCTCACTCACGCGGCCCAGGGCCCTGGCCTCCCTTCCCCGTGGCATTTGCCTGGAAGCAGGGAAAGAACCATGTGCATTTGCTTACATGTTCTGTCTGCTTTCTTTATCTCTTTGGGATATAATAGGCTTTCAGTAAACAAGGCACTGAATGAAATCAGGAACAAACCAAACAACGCTTTCAAATGTAATTTCCCCAAACACGATTGTGATTCAGTCCCCTTACTCCAGAGGTTAGGGTTGGGTGCTGTTTCCGCAGCAGGTCCTGGCACAATCCCCGGGAAACGGAGAAAGCTAAAAGTATCACTGGAGCGTGTGGACAGCAGCGGGGGCCCTCATTAAACTAGAACTTCCAGGGTTCAGGAGAAAGGAGGACAGGCAGAAAATTCATTGTTTAGAGTAGAAGCATCAAAGGGCATTGACACAAACCTTTCAAGCTTACCTTATTTGCAGCACCTTTCTTTTCAAGCATAAATATTCTAAATTGGAGAGGAGTTAAAGAGAAAATTAAACAAGTCAACCAAAGAGTTCATAAGATGTTTTTCCTAAACATCTATGTTATTTCTGTTATTACTTTGATATGAACAAAATCTGTACAAAGTCAGAAGCTGAAAAAATTAAATTAAGAAAAATCGTTTTTAAAAAAAAGAAAACAAAACTCAGACTAGGCTCTTCTCCGGTAACTTCGGGTAACTCCTTTTGACAATGTAGGAGCCAAAGAAGCCCCAACGTGCAAGTTGTCTCATGCTCATTAATGGTTTAGTGTGTCACACACAAGCCCAAACTTACTTTAATGCAATTGTTAATGATTATATTTCATTTTTTTAAAAATGGAAGACTGTGGTTCTTTCATGGAGTCTGCTTACACACACACACACACACACACACACACACACACACACACACACACACACAAACACACACCCCCCCCCCTGGTGGCTGGCTAGCCTTTAAACCCTTTACTCTAGCCTTAGCCCTGCAATCTGTTTCCCTTCCAGCATCTCACTTGCCTCTTCAGGTGAGTGAGTGTTGTAAGGCCCTCGCCAGTATTATCTGTCCTTCATGGGCACAGACACTGGGTCGTGAGGGGAGGAGGCGAGGAAGGGTGAGCAGATCATACTTAGGACAGTGGTTTGTTGCTTCCAAATCCCAACTCTACCCAGCAAACTCTTATTTCTTAGCATTTAATTTCTCCCATGGGAATTTAAATTTCATTTTTCTCTTTACAGGTCAATATTTTTAAGAAAAATAAAGAACAATGTTATGCCCAGCTGGTGTGGCTCAGCGGTTGGGCATCGATCTAGGATCCAGGAGATCACTGTTCCATTCTCAGTCAGGGCACATGCCTGGGTTGTGGGCTCGATCCCCAGTCGGGGCATGCGGGAGGCAGCCAATCAATGACTCTCTCATCATTGATGTTTCTCTCTCTCTCCCTTCTTCTCTCTGAAATCAATGAAGACCAAAAAAACAAAAAACAATGTTATGAAGCAAGTAAGTTATGTGAAATCAAAATTATGATGTGTGGCCCTAGCCAGTTTTCTCAGTGTTTAGAGCATCAGCCTGCAGACGGAAGGGTCCTGGGTTCAATTCCAGCCAAGGGCCCATACCTCAGTCACAGGCTCCATCCCCGGCCCTGGTTAGGACGGGTGCAAGAAGCAACCAGTCCATGTGTCTCTCTCACATCGATGTTTCTCTCTCTCTTCCCTTCCACTCTCTCTAAAAAAAAAATGGAAAAAATATCCTCAGGTGAAGATTAAAGGAAAACAAATTATGTTGTGTGTGAAGCTCCTTGGACCCGGGCAGTTTGGCTCTACAACACTTGCTATGTTCACAATCCTGAAGTGACTTACTTTTGGTAATTACGGCAGCCAAAATAGTGAGCAATATCACGGCAGCAATGGAGAGTCCAATAGAGAGTTCCTTACTGGTGCTCCTCCACGTTTGTTTCAAGCATGTGTGCTAAACAAACAACAGCATATTGAAAAAGCATCTTGTTAGAATTATGGGTAGAAAACATCTCCTAAAATTATATACTCGGGCACATTTATCTTTACTGGCCCTTGTCTACTTCTAGATCATGAGAGGTAAGACCAAATCATCTGAGGTTGTAACCACGGTGAAATTGTCAGATAATTTGAAATTCAATATGTATTTGGGAATATTGGAAATATTTTACATCCTGCTTGGAGTGGGATTTACATGGGTGTATACATTTGTCAAAGCTCAAACTGTACACTTCAAAGGGTGCTCTTTATTATGTGTAAATTACCCATATTTTCAAAAGAAATCAATAAGCTATTTCCATCGCTATATTCTCTTGTGAGATTAAAAAAGAAAAAAAACTTGTTCATGTACAGGTTGACTTGGTGATGTTATCTGGATGTACTTAATTAATGAATTTTATCATTGATAGAGTCCTTATGTTTTTTAATTATAATTCAAGATTCTATGTATGTCTATATAAATGGACCTGAAAGGAGCTGCTCACAAACATGGCCCTGATTAACAGTTAACTTAAAATGCTATGCAACTGCATAGAAATGCAGAATTTTATTTAAAATCTCCTAGTGCAGTTTGGAATCATTCTAGAATAAGCCCAAAATATGCCAGGCCCCTCTACCTAGCTTAGCTCTAACACTGAAAAGATCCCACAGGGTAGATATTTGAACAGAAAGGACAGAGAGAAAGATGAAGCCTCTTACTGCATAAAAGTTTAATACTGGAGACAGAATCTCGGCTTTTTCAGTTGCTGTGGGACCCTCAGCAGGTTATTAAGCTTCTCTGAACCTCTGTTTCTGTGTCTGTCAACTACAGATTAAGTAGGGTCCTTGGGAAAGATACTTTCAGACACTTCCCGGAAAACACAATGAGGAATCTGAGGGCAACTTAGCATTTGAGCCATCCGTGTTTAAAGAGAGGGGAAAGTTTCTTTGGTATTACTGTACCTGTGGGGGGGCAACATGGTTAGATGGAACATGGGGTTGCCAAAGGAGGCTTTGCTTTTTTTTTTTAATACTATATTACATAAAAACTACATGTTTATTATAGAATGTGCAGCTAACATAAAGAAAGAAAAACTAAAATCAACCATAGTCCTAACATCCCAAGACAACCATGGTTACCATTTTTTATTAGATTCTCTTTTAAAATTTTCTGTCTGGAGTTTTTTCTTAACATAAATAATTATATATTCAATATATACTATTTTAAAAATTAGTTTTTTCACTTAATAATCAATAGTAACGATCTTCCTGTGTCAGTAAATGCACTGAAGCAATGACATTCTTAATGGCAATATGTGGGTGTGCTTAACTGATTAAGTAATTAATCCCTTACTGTTGAGGATTGAGGTTGTTTATAACATTTTCATGACTATAAATAACAGCAACAAACACTTCTTCCCATACATCTTCATGTATTTGTTCAATTGTCTCTTTAACATATTGTCCAAGTTGACCTACTGTAGGGTCAAAATATATGCTGCATGTTTTCAGGATATCAGGGAGCCCAGCCGGGCATGGCTCAGCGGTTGAGCATCGACCTAGGATCCAGGTGATTGGGGTTCGATTCCCGGTCAGGGCACATGCCTGGGTTGTGGGCTTGATCAATAACTCTCTCATCATTGGTGTTTCTATCTCTCTCTCCCTCTCCTTTCCTCTCTCTGAAATCAATAAAGATATATTTTTTAAAAAAAGGTATCAGGGAGACACATTGACATCCTCAGACTCAAGGCCCCAAAAAGCCCACAATTTTGTTACTTCCTGTAGTAAAATTGCATCTAAATTGCTTCTACTTGCTGCCAAACCTAACTATCCTACAGGTAGCTGAGGTCAAAAACAAGTTCACCTTTCAGAATGTGCTTTTTTTTTAATTCAACATAAGTCTGGCCATATAGCAATAAAATAACATTTCCATAGTGGCAGTTCTGGTATTTAGGAGGCCTATACAAATTCAGCCCAAGCCATCAGATCAATCATGCCATAATAATTGGTAAAACAGTTCATATAACTATTAGTGTGCTCTTTGTTAACTAAGGTTAACAATATAAAGTAATCTGACCCTACACTAAATCAGCACATTTTGTCTCAGTTTGAATTTCTCTTATTATTGAGGGTTGTCATTTCTCACCACTTGTGACCAGTTAACGCCCTAATGGGTCATCCTACATAAGACATTAAGGTGTAGAAAAACTCTGCAGTGGCCTCAAAATTTCTCTATAAAAGGCAATCGGGTAGGAAAAGGGTACTAGGGGCCTATGGTTAAGCAAGCACACTTCCACTTACATAATAATTTTGTTTGGAACGGCCTCCATGCCACCACAGCAACTCAAAGCATTTATTTCCCTAATGATAACTGAAGTCCTCCTGGGTATGTTGTGTTAACTCACTCTCCTTAAATTAGTTCATTCTTTTTTGTCCAATCTTTTGTCCAGGACAAAGTCTGTCGTGTGTGAGTGTTGTGTGTATGTGTGTGAGTAAAATCACTTTTCAGGCATCTCTAACAAACGGGTCTACCTCTGAGCTTGACCAATTAATCAAAGCAGCCCTACTTCAGAAACAAATTCTTTTCTTCTTTGTGTCTTAACTGGGGAGAGTCAATCTGTGGGCTAGCCTTACAGAAGTAACCTCTAAATATAACTTGCTTCCAGGGAGACAGACAAGTGAAGATGGCGAATGAAACAGGAAGGAACTGGCTTACAGTCTCATTGAACTGCCAACCGCCACCTGATGGCTGCGTCACAGTGCTACTCCCATCTGCTCAACAAAAAGAAAAGTAGTTAGAATTATAAAAAATATTGAAAATTTGCTACAAACCCTAAGTATATTCACATTGCTTTCTGGTGATGAATGAAAAGTTGAATAATAAGATGACCAAAGGTAGCAAGCACTGCAAGAGTTATACCAAGTGACTAGTGTTTATTAATTTATCCTATAAGGTGTGTTTCTTAATCACTTTGTCATGGGCCCTGTGAAAATGGACCACTTTTTCTTCTTTATGGAAAAAAAAAAAGCATTACATATGAAGTTTTGCCTACAAATTCAGGGGTACAGAAGACATTTTGGAACCAGGTTAAAAATGCCACTTACAGGTAGGTGATCAATATTTTTATGCCAGCTAAGAACTGTCAATGAGTGCCCAGAGGCCATATGCACATCTAAAGATCAAACTACTCTATTTAGAATGGACATTACATTGGCTTTAGATTCAAAATGTAAGTAGAATGTACAAAGGTATCTAAAACAGGGGTCATGTAACTCCTACATTATATGCCAATGTGCCTAGAAGTACATTGATCCAGAAGTACTTTAGAAAATACCTGTTATATAAGCCATAAGACCAATATATCTTATTCTACCTAAAATCCTAATATAAAAGGATATTATTCTTTAAAGTTTTTTTGGTAAAGATAATTATATTTATGTAAGTATGTAAAATGTTTTAAACGATAAAAATATCTTAACTTTAACTTAATCCTACATTTTAAATAACTAGTTCTTATAGATGGTCCAAACTGAAAGGGGTATAAACAGCCTCACTCTCTGCTTTCCTCTAAGAATCCCCACCCAAACTGACTCATAGGTGACCATTTTTATTAGTTTCTTGTTTGGTTTACTTTTCTAAATAATTTTTTATTTTTCAATACAGTTGACATACAATACTATATTAGTTTAATGTGTACAACACAGTGACCAGACATCTAAAAAACTTATGAAGTGATCACCTTGAAAAATATAGTGCCCATGTGACACCATACACAGTTATCACAATATTATTGACTATACTCCTTACATCCCCATGACTATTTGTAACTACCAATTTGTACTTCTTTTTTCTTTCTTAATCCTCTCCCGAGGACATTCTTTTACTGATTTTAGAGAGAGAAAGAGAGAAAAATATCAATGTAATGTGAGAATGAAACATTGATCAGTTGCCTCCTGCACGTGCCCAGACTGGATATTAAACCCACAACCTGGATACGTGCCCTGGCTGGGAATCCAACCCACTTTCAGTGTACATGCGCCAACCAACTGAGCTGCCCCAGCCAGGGCCCAATGTGTACTTCTTAATCCTGTCCCCTTTTCTACCCATCCCCCCAAACCCATCCCACCTGGGAACCATTGAAATATCCTCTGAATCTATGAGTATTTTTCTGTTTCATTTATTTGTATATTTCCTTTTTTACATTCCACAAGTAACTGAAATCATATGGTATTTGTCTTTCTCAGTTGGTGAGAGTGTCATCCCAATACAACAAGGTTGCAGGTTCGATCCCTGGTGAGGGCATATACAAGAAACAACCAATGAATGCAAAAAAAGTGAAACAAAAAAATGTCTCTCTCTCTCCCTCTTGCACTCTAAAATCAATTTTAAAAACTTTTTTTAAATGTACCTTCATCAAGGCCCATTACAAACATATATTTATATGTATGTATGTGTGTATATATGTACATATATATATATAAGCTGAACTACAACTACAACCTATTAATATCACCCATCTCATAAAGATGTTAAATTAGATGTTGTATGTAAAACAGTTAAAACCACATCAGATAAATACCAGCTGTTACTAAATATTATGGCATTATAATGGAAGGAGCAGTGGCGGAACACTGTGCAATGACTTTTCAAACATCTTGCCCTCGGTGAGCATAAACATCGAGAGAGGAATGCAACAACTTGCCCTTGCTGGTGGTGAAATGGAAGCTGTCTCTCTCCAAAGCAGAGCTATAGGGCCTCCTTAAACTGACAATGGCAATTAATAAGTCCCACAAGGAAAGAATTAAATGCGATAACTTATGAAAATTTCCTGGCACATACAACTGCCAAAGGTGGGTGGCGGGCCATATGACAACCAAAATCCCTTCCGGACATAACATTCTTTGTTAATGTACCTTGTTTTTAAAAGCAGCTCAGCTGAGAGCTGAAGAGCAGTTATAACAAGTCCTTATGCTCTAGCACTGTTGCTTGATGTGTAAACAGACCTAACATTCTTTGCTTATGTGAAGCTGCAGCCCATGGAAGGCTGACTTGGGCAGAGTGAGGATTTGGCTCCAGAGCCTCAGATACCCTGCCATGGTGGCAGCTGTCACAAGTCATGGGGACACAGCTGCTCCAGTGTCTGTTCCATCCTGGAAAGCTCTACCCGCACCAGGTTATAGTGACACGATATTTAGAAAATGATTCCCAACTCCTAGTTTCTTCCTGCTCACACCCCTACTGCTGTTGCCTTGGGTTTTTATCTATTTCTGTTTATGCGTCCAGAAACAGTTCACACTAAGGATTCCACTTTCGAAAACAAATATGACCATTATTTAATCCCAACTGAATGTGTCCCTTTGTGACCCTCACTGCAGATCCATTTTAAATTAACCATCTTCCAGGAATGATTGGCAAGAGTTAAGCCACAGGGCGGGGCCCTACAGACTGGCAACTCCTGAATACTGNTTGGCAAGAGTTAAGCCACACCGGGGCCCCCCTACAGATTGGCAACTCCTGAGTACTCTGAGTCATACACAGGAGGAGTCTTGCAAGGTTTGACCTTGTTAAGACACAGCACAAGGGCACACAGCCAGCTCTGCATTACAAAGGGCCTCAGCATGTGGCACTCCACAGGCTTACCACTATGGGGCCCAGAGTTAGCTGGGAGAGATGACAGGCTTCAGTACCACCTTCCTCCACCATGGGAAAGACAGGTCAATCTTCCCTGTCACCAGAGTAGAGATTGCATGGGACCTGCCCAGAATGGGGAGAGGGGGAGACTTTTTGGAGGGGAACAGCAGACTCTCTGTGGGGCACGCCTCTCTTTGGTGCCAGTTTGGTGTCCTCTACCCATCTCTAGGAGTCCACCTGCAAGCCCGACAAGGCAGCACAACAGCCTCCTACATGTATTTAGGCTCCGGAGCTGGGCAAAATGTAAACAGAGGTGACTAGTGTGGTCTGGATTTCATTGTTTCACAGCTCTGGCCCACGGGAGCAAGCCCAGTAATAAATGTGCAGTAAAGACCGGATCATTTGATTTAGAACATAGAGATATGCACCTGGATGTTCCCAAATCATACAAGCTAGTTATGCTAGTCAGTTGCATGTGCTCTGGACATCTAAGTAATAGTCGCAGTTGCTGTTGTGTTTACCCTTACCCCCACATAACTGAATCCCAAGTTCTTCATCTCAATCGTCCTCACAAGGGTTCTACATGGTCAGTGATGTTCCATCCATTTTAGAAATGATGAAAACAGAATCAGAGAGGGTAAGATATTTCTTTAAGTCACATAGCTGATAGGAGGGGCCAGTATCAGCACTCACATCACAATATGGGCTTTTAACTACATCTCAATGACTATCAAAATTTTAATGCTCTAGGTCCTCAGGAAAGAAAATGAAGTTACCTGTTGGGCAAGAAGAGTCCAACGATGAGCTGGTCGCATTTGTTCCCTGTGCTGTGATAGGCTGGGTTTCTGCTGTCCGCACTGGAGACGATGAAGGAGTTTCTGAAATGGAAAGAATGAAAGAGCTCTGCTCTATTTGTGGAGAAAAACCTGCCCCCCACCCCCAACACTAACAAAACTAAAATCAGGAACTACATTCAACTCTTTCTCAGAACTTTATTCAGAGATAACACTGAGACATTGTACTGCCATCTGCATGTTTCATTATCAGGAATAAATTTGATGTCGACAATGATCTGAATAGTTTTCTATAGACAGAATTATTTCACACTTTTCATATCCCTGGAATCTCCCAAAATATATGAAATCTACAACAGCGTATCTTATACAGGACACTCAATTGGGCTTTATTCATGCAAATGACATTTCACTTTCACAAAACACTGATCTGTTCTCCCACCTTCACAACAACCCCAACCCGGACTTTCTGACCTTCTTCAAGTTCACGATCATCTGCCCACACATCTTTCCAGGGAGCTGCACGTATGGACCGGCACAGGGCACATCCTCACACCACTTAACGCCTTGCACTTTCTTCAAGGTGACTGCACTGCCAAGGTCTCAGCTTGGTAATGATCCACAGCCCTCAGAGCCAGGCTCCTGGGAGACCTTGACCCGGCTCCTTCTGCAGCTGCATTCCGCTCCCTCCTTCCCCAAGACTGATTTCCTGTTATCTGACTCATCTCCCATTTCTCACCAAGAAGCTCCACTAAGAGTCCTCCGGCACAGGGCTATGCCTCACATGCCCCTTTATAAAATCTGCACATTCCCTCCCCTGAGAGCACCACAGAACTTTAGAGCAAATTAGTGGCGCTGGCTGGGCAAGAATTCTCAAACCTGGGCTTTCCTTACTGCCTCTCATTGGTCTTTCTCTTTCTTCTTTCCCACCATAATCTTCACACCTCAACATCACCCTTCCTTATGTTCTGAACCGATTTCATGTTTTCCTCCAATGCTGAACCCTGTAGGAAGATGTGGCTCTCTTGAGGAACAAAAAACAGGGCAATACAAGAAGGTCAGGTGACCAGAGTCTATCCAACTTGGATCTGTGCAAAAGACCTCTTGACCTTAGCTCCTTTCCCAAGTTTCACTTTTTGTGGGCATCTTTTTTGCTCCCCTGCTCCTGCTCCTGCAACTTACATCCAACCATTCCATGAATATTTTAGGAAACTGGCATGTGCTAGAGGCACTGAGCACAGGCAGGGAGTGGATGGAAAGCTAACTGTCTCTGCACTGAATTAGCTCCAGTGTTCACCTCCTTCCTATACGATGAAGCTCAGCTCTAAACTCAAACTCCTCAGGAAGCTATCAGGGCAAAGATAAGGCTCAGATCAATTAATAATGCAATTAATACTCCCCAAGAGGCCACACAGACGTAAAGCAACACTTTTCCTCTGGATCTCTGCTTTAAACAAAGTAAAAAAACTTAGGTATTTGCACTAAACCGAGTCCGCTGATCTGCACACTTTTGCAGGCACACACTAAGTCAAACTAAGTATAAAGAAGCTAAATCAATGTTGAGAAAGTCAACAGATTCTCTAGTAGTTTCAGCTGCCTGGAGCAAAGCTCTTTTTCTTACAAACTTTTATGGCTCTAAAATCCCAGTTTTAACCTAAAGCCCTCTCCTCCAAACTCAGATCATAGCCCAAATGCTTCAGATCCCTCCTGGTTAAATATACACATGGTTCAATGGGGGTCAAGGAAAATCAATGTTCCATCAGATTTCTCTGGCTAAGAGGTTGAGACATCTCTGTTACTCTTCAGAATCCAGACCACCTCAAAGAGTCAGAGACATTGAACTCTTCACTGAAAGTTATCTGTTTAATCTTAGAAATAGAAGGTTTGGACTTAAACTGGTTGTCAGTCAGGAGGCCACACCATTTCTGCACCCATATGTTGAATTATTCTACATTTGTATTAAATCTAAATACTTACCTATGAGAAAGTTGAAGTGTGAAGCATGTAGCCAGAGTTGAAAAAGGAGCCATAAATTCTAAATCCCTGAAACACTTATAACTGATGTCATGATATAGCTTTTTTTTTTAGTTTCTATGCTACATAACAAAATAAAGGATGTTTGAAGCAAAACTGTGTAAGTCACTGACTGACATGGAAAGACAAGATAATTACATAAAGGCTTTTTCAGTGAGGTGTCAGATCAGGACAAATTCATCCTAATATAACTTCAGTCTGCCTGGTAGAAGGCACCATCCAGTGGTTATAAACACAGCCCCAAATTCCAATGAATGGAGACGGAGTCCTGACCCAACCACTTTCTAGCCATATGCCTGTAAACAATGAACTTAGACTCTGCATAGGTTCCCACAGCTATAAAATGGGATTGAATCACACCTACAGTGCATAAAGTTGTCATAAGAATTAAGTAACATAATATTTGTAAAGAACTTAGCCAATGGGAGAGGGGTTGGGGGTCCGGGTAAAAAAGGTGAAGGGATGGAGAAGTACAAATCGGTAGTTACAGAATAGCCCCAGGGATGTAAAGTACAGCACAGGGAATATAGTCAATAATATTTAATAACTATGGATGGTGTCAAATGGGTACTTGATTTATCAGGGCAATCACTTTGTAACTTATATAAATGTCTAATCACAGAGTTATACACCTGAAACTACTGTAATATTGTACATCAACAGTAATTTTTTTAAAAATAAAATAAAACCTTGTAAAATGAAGGGAAAAAAAAGAACTTAGCATGTGTCCTGTCACATAGGAGACTAAGTAAATGATAATCTCGATGAAATCTTATCCCTTCAGAGTGGACTAAAAGATCTCCACTGAGAGCTCCTTGGGAGGACAGATCTCATTAACCTGAACCTTCTTCTTTGGCATAGCCCTATATTTTCCTTATAAACTTGTGTTTAAGAGGGCCAGATCAATAGAGAGAAACAAGCTGGCAGCGTAGGTAACAGCTGCACCCGCCACCTCCCGCAACCACATCAAAATCACAACTAAACACAGAACCACCATCACGCAGAGCCTCCTGAGATCCGGCTGCACAGAAGCCCCACAGCCAGGGAGCTGAAGAAGCACCGAGATGGTAGGAGGGGCGGAGACGCGGGCGGGGCGGGGCTGAATCCCGGAGACGCTGCCGCGGGCCCACACCCGGTGCCGC